GACTAAAAGTGATCATAAAGAACATATGAAAAAGGTGTTGGAAGCATTAAAGGAGAATAATCTGGTGGCCAATAGAAAGAAATGTTCATTTGGCCAAAAGAAATTGAGTTACTTGGGGCATGTGATATCTGAAGAGGGGGTAGGTGCTGATCCTAACAAGATAGAAGCAATGAAGCAATGAAGTATACCTAAAGACCTAAAAGAATTAAGAGGATTCTTAGGGTTGACTGGGTACTATAGAAGATTTGTGAAAGGTTACAGCCATATTGCTGCACCATTAACAGCTCTACTAAAGAAAGATGGATTTAAATGGAATGAGAGTGCCAGACAAGCATTTGAGGAGTTGAAAGTTGGTATGACTATTGTACCCGTCCTCAGGGTTCCACATTTTAGTAAATTTTTTGTGGTTGAAACTGATGCTTCAGGAAGGGGTTTAGGTGCAGTTCTTATGCAGGATGGAGGTCCAATTGCCATGAGAAAGAACTCATGGCAATTGTCTTTGCCATACAGAAGTGGAAGCCTTACCTGCTAGGGAGAAGCTTTGAAGTACAAAGAAGTTTGAAATACTTGACTGAACAAACTGTTGTGGAGGAAGATCAGCAAAAATGGATAACCAAGTTGATGGGGTACAACTTTATTATTAAGTATAAACCTGGGATTGAAAATAAAGCAGCAGACGCTCTCTCTAGAAAATCTACCTATGCTTTATCTTCAGTAGTCTGCCAGGAATGGGATGGATTGGAAGAAGAACTGGAGAAGGACCCTAAATGGAAGGAGGTGATTCAGAGAGTGTTGACTCAGCCAGATCAGTGCCAAGACTACAGAAAAAAGGGTGGAATATTATTATACTATAAAGGAAGAATGGTGTTGCCAAAAGGATCTCCCAAGATACTGACTATTCTCAAAGAGTATCATGATTCAGCCATAGGAGGACATTCTGGCTATTTCAGAACTATGAAGAGGATTTCAAGCATGTTCTTTTGGTTGGGAATGAAGTCTGATATTAAGGATTACATTCAGGGGTGTGAGATCTGCCAAAGGAACAAGTATCAGGCTTTAAAGCCTGCAGGACTGCTGCAACCTTTACCAATTCCATATCAGGTGTGGACAGACATCAGTATGGACTTCATTGGAGGGTTACCAAGATCACAGGGCAAGGACACTATCTTAGTTGTGGTGGACAGGTTGACAAAGTTTTCACACTTCATTCCTTTGGCACACCCTTTCAATGCCAAAGGAGTTTCAGAAGTCTTTGTGCAAGAGGTGGTGAAGATTCATGGATTTCCCAAATCCATTGTCAGTGACAGAGACAGCCTTTTCCTGAGCTCCTTCTGGTCTGAAATGTTCAAGTTAGCTGGAACAAAACTAAAATATAGTAATGCCTATCATCCACAAAGTGATGGGCAGACTGAAGTGGTAAATAGGTGTCTTGAGACCTATTTGAGGTGCTTAACTGGTCAGAGGCCTAGGCAGGGGTGAAATGGCTTCCTTGGGCTGAGTATTGCTTCAATACAAACTACCATAGTTCATTAAAGGGTACTCCTTTTCAGGCTTTGTTTGGGCAATCACCTTCCCCTATTATTAGAGGTGATGTTAATATGACTGCAGTGGAGGAAGTAGCAAAGCTGACAGCGGAAAGAAATATGATGTTGACTAAACTAAAGGAGAATTTAGCCAGGGCACAAAATTTGATGAAGCAACAGGCAGACAAACACATAAGGGAGGAGAAACTGGAAGTAGGAGATCAAGTTTTTCTGAAGATACAGCCCTACAAGTTGAAAAGTTTGGCTAAAAAATCAATCAAAAGCTTAGTCCAAGATTTTATGGACCTTATGAGATCATTGAAAAGCTAAGCTCTGTAGCTTTTAAACTCAAATTACCAGAAGGCAGTAGGATACACCTTGTATTCCATATATCTCTATTAAAGAAAGTGCTGAAACCAACTGTGAATTATCAGAATCTCCCAAATTGCCTCACAGAAGGGTGTGAGCTGCAAGTGAGACCTGAAGAGGTGAGGGACATCAGGATAAGTCAGGAAGGGAAGAAGGGGGTCCTTGTACAGAAGGAACTTCCTCACTTTGAAGACTCATGGGAGGATGTTAAAATGCTTCAAGATCAGTTCCCAGAATTCCAACTTGAGGACAAGTTGGTTGTTCAAGGAGGGGGCGTTGATAAGAACCCGGCTAGTTTACTTAATAAGAATAAGTACTTTGGGCAAGTGTATTCTAGAAGGTCAAAGTAGACTAGTTAGTTATGAGTTAATTGGCTGGTATTACTAATAACTACCTTCCGTTTGTGGAAGGATATAAATAGTATAATTCCTGCAGAGGGAAGGCAGGCTGTAAACACTTTTTCTTGGACTGGGAAGTTGGAGTATTATCTCCTTCTTTTCTGAGCTAGAATTCTTACTGTATTGGTGATCGATAGTATTGTGGATCGATTGTTGTTGTCTGTTATCTCGAGGTATCTATCATATTGTCCAGAAGAAACAAGGAGGAAGGGAAGAAGGTCCGGAAGACGAATTTGACAAATTTAACAGGACAGAGCTATCATAAATGGGGGGATGGTAGTAGAAATAGTTATAATCTGACATCTACAAATCAATCGGTGAAGAACCCAGATGATAGCAAGAAGCAGGAGGAAGGATCAAATTCAGTTTACAAGCAGATAAGCATCGGGTTAACACAGAATGAATTATTAGAGCGGAGTAAAAAAGGACTATGTTTTAAATGTGGTGACAAATGGAATAGAGGCCATATTTGCAGTATGAAAAATTTTAAAATGATACTTGTTGAACAATCTAAGGGGTAGGACTCTGATGTTGACTCTAGTAAGGATAGAGAAGAAGGAATCCATATGGAAGCTAAGACTATGCAATTGGCTGAATTGAATAAGGAAGGAATACTCTCCATGAGAACATTCAAAGTCATGGGGAATCTGAAATGGCAGACTGAGGAAAAGAAGGTGAATATTTTGATTGATTGTGGAGCTACCCACAACTTCATCTCACAGAAGGTTGTGAATAAATGGAAGATACCATTTAGTTGCATTAAGGGTTTTGAAGTGCAAATAGGGAATGGAGAATTTCTTCCCAACAATGGCAAATGTGAAGAAGTAACATTGAATATACAAGGAATTAACATTCTAAGAGATATGGAATGGAATGGTTAACTGGCCTAAGAGATATGGAAGTTAACTTTCAGAACCAGACTTTAAGATGGAGAGAACAAGAACAGAATTATTTTATCCAAGGAGAAAATGCACGAAATCAGATGGATGTTCCATTGAAAACTGTCACTAACATCTCACAGAAGACACAGGGGAGATATGTGCGATACTGTAAAAGTATAGAGCCGGAAAAACAGCACATAACAACTCAGGATGAACCCGGGAACAGGATGGTGGAAGAATTTCCTGAAGTCTTCAAATCAATTCTAGATCTGCTTTCTGAAGAACCTTGTGATCATGCAATAAATGTCATAGAAGGAACCAGCATACCCAAAATCAGACCATACAGTCCCCAGAAATACATGACAGAGGTTACAATTTCAAAGAATGAAGCAAATGAAATTCAAGGATTTGAGTTATATCTGGTAGTTAAAGCTATTAACAAAGGAAACATGGAGCAGTTGGTGTTTAGTAAAGCCCAGTTCCGGCGTGATCAAAATTCCCCAAGTGGTAATGAGGCTTTGAAGGTAGAGAATCTATTGATGCTTTTGCTAGAAGAAGTCAGAAGGATAAGTCAAGTAGGGAAGTTCATGGCTTCGAAACAAGTGAGATATTGGGAAGGTAGAAGCGCCAGGATGAAGAGGAAGCAGAAGATCTTGGTTGTTTCCTATCAACCACCTTGAGGGCATGGTGGATGTTTAGGGGGGGAGTATTGATAGGGATCGATCTATTAGAATATTAAATAGAAGAGTTAGTGTAGTTATATTTCTGTTTGAGCTAATAACTACATTCTGTTAGTTCGAATACTATCATTTCATTTCATTTTCATTTACCCCAGTGCCGCAAAGGCTCCCACCTACGGTGGGGTAAGGGGGGTCAAATGTACGCAGTCTTACCTCTGTGCTAAAGCACAAAGAGACTGTTTCCGGATGACCCATAGTGAAAATTGCGTCCAAAATTGCATGAACTAACCGCTGCTTCATAACAAAGAAGCGCAGACAATTTAGTGAGCCATTTTGCTTTATTCCATCATAGTCTCAAGCCAAAAAATAATGAATAAAGCTGGGAGTAGTAGGTGTTTTAGACTTTGTTTTGGACTGGGAAAGTTAGAGACTAATAATCTCTCTCTTTGGGGGCTTCGGCCATTGGGGGCTTCGGCCATTGTTACTGATTCTCCTTCTGTAATTGATCATCTTCATCAATAAAGTGTTCAGTGTTTCCTCCTTGTTAATCTCTCTGTAAATTGTTCTGGATTCTTGGTTGATCTATCATCTAAGCACGCAGTGCACTAATACTAATGCAAAATAAAATTACCTCTTTGCTTTTCTGTCCGTTCCAAATTTATATTCACATTCCTTTTAAGGGAAGAATTATATTTGATTTATTTCCTCTCCTAAAAAATTCAGCTACACATATTCCTATTTATTTAAAAGAATGACAAGTCAAAAGAGGAGATTATAAAAGGACGGAGGAAGTAATAAAAATATGAACAAACATAATATCCATAAAGAGCTGGTGGTATTATTGATATAACTTCTTTTTAGACATTGACCGTGATAGTTACTGCCTAATCACAAGATAAAGGAATTAAAAAATAGAATTTCTTTATTGAAGGTGATATCCAAGGCCACCTTTTAGAACATTACTTCTATCTCAAGACTCAAAAGGATTGCCTTGACAGAGGAAGCGATCCAGTCCAGCTGGTCGCCGATTTACTCTCCCTTATGGGAGGTCCCGGGCTCAATTCTCAATGGAGTGAGATTGATCCCAGTTTAGCCCAGGCCCCCCAGACCCCCTCCCCCGATGCCCCCTGGGGTAAAAAAAAAGGATGGCCTTGACAAAATCCTTTTTCATATTACCAGCTTTCTTGTAGAAATTCAGTGTGATTTATGTTAATATAAAGAATTACTGTACACCAATATAATCTGAATTTAATCATAATTTCTTATAGCCACCTAATATACATCATATTGAATGTCTGAGTTCGTGATTAGTGATTTAGTGGTCTTATTCGAAATTTGCAAACAAAGAGGCAGGGGCAAGAAAATCCAGATTTTTAGTAATTAAGAAGTTCAGAACACCATACTTGTCACGGCGGCTAGGCGAGGCGCGGCGCCAACCGACCGCCATATCGCCTAGGCGTCTAGGCGCCCGCCTAGGCGACAACTAGGCGACAAGTCGTGCCATATGGAATATTTAAATTTACATATAATTAAATAATATATTTCAGATTATTTTAAACAAACATATATGAAACAATAGATTATGTTTCTAGAAAAAATGTCCAGTATAAATTTTCACAAAGAAAATAACAAATTGTGTACGAATAGTAGATAATATGCAATAGTATAGCAGACATTTGGTAACAAAGATTGAATTTGGTTCATGGATTCCAGCTGGACATGAAATAAATGAAAGAGTAGAAGTTTACTGTACATAAAAAGTGCAGATAAAAACTATTTGTAGAAAAATGCGTAATAATACATTAAAAATATATGGACTCCAGCTGTCTGCCAAACCAAACAAAACTCAACAAAATATAGATCAGCTAGCGACTTTTGAAAACAAGGACGCCGAATGAGCGAAGTAAACAGAGACGGAGGTGGAGCAACTGCGCTATACAGTGACCTGAGGCAGCAGCGTACTGTGGCGACTTCCATCAGTGAATCGACCGACGGGATGAACCGTTGATGGCCATCAACGGTTATGGCCGACGCTAAATTTTAAAACTCAACATCTTCTCTAATCTAATATTTTGGGCCGAAGCGGCAAAACAGGCGTTGGGCGTCTCCAAGTTACGCCTAGTCGACGCCAAGTTATGCCTAGTCGACGCCGAGTTACGCCTTGGCAGCTCCAGGCGAGTCGAGTAACCATGGCGCCCCTTCCCCATCGCCAGGACGACTAGTCGGCGCCTAGGCGACGCCGTAACAACCATGCAGAACACTCACCATAGTAGGATACCCTGCTATTTTGGCAAATAGATCCACGTTATTTGGCTCTTTAGAATACTCTTTACTGACCACTAATGATTACTAACCATCAGTAGTATTTTGTAGGAAAGATTAACAAATTAATATTAACCTCTCACTGTCACAGTCGTACAAAAATAACAAAATATATTGAAAGTAGAACTAATTACCAGTGGCAACAATAAGGAAGGCAAATGGGTAGTGCACGGATGCATAGATAAAAATGAAAATTATTTACTTATCAGATAAAATAAACATAAAAGATATTACTCCAAAAGATAAAATTAAAAGAAACCTACTAGACTAACCGCAAGGGGAACAGTACCCAAGATTCGTAATGCCATTAATGGGCTCCATAAGTTGCAATTGGTGTTGTTCCTGTGCATCCTGCACGTGATCAATTTGATGCAATGGCTGCACAGCACTACCATCTAATGCTGCTGCAGCAGAGGCCGGTGTCCCCTTTCCTTCTACGAACCGCCACATGTACCATGCCCCTACTGACCGATAGGGTTTCCATTTCACACACAGCTGCTCCATCTGAGATGGCCTTGGCAAATCCTCTAGTCCATGCAGCAATTGTACCCCTTTTCTTACCCCCAAATCGCTTACTGGCAGAACATCAGGTCTGTGAAGTGAAAAGATCATAAACATGTGAACAGACCAAGAGCCGATTCCCTTAACCATTGACAGCATTGTAAACAGTGAGCGATCGTCCATTTTAACAACAGTGTCATCGGACAGAATCCCAGATTTGTACTTGTTTGCCAGGTCATAAAGGTAGCTTGCCTTTCTGCCAGAGACTCCAATTTGCTTGAGCTGTTGAGCAGAGAGGGAGAGAACGGTATCAGGATGAACAGCTAGCTCTCCACCGCAGAGGGATATGAATCGTGTGTATATTGATGTACCAGCCTTATATGCCAGTTGCTGGTAAAGAATACTCTTCGCCAGAGCTAGGAAGGGTGGGTGACGCGTTTCAAATGTTGGCGGAGGGAGAGTGTCAATCAGGGACACAAGGAGAGGGTCTGAAGCTCGGAGATGGCGAATGGCAAGCTCAATTTCTCCATCAGCTGATAACGGTTTAACAATTTGGGGCAAAAGCCTGGATATCTGGGTAACTGCTTTCCGGCGATTCCTGGAGCTCGCCAATGTGGTAACGGTGGAAGCGCCGGACGTTGAGGCGGAAGAGGTGAGGGGAATGAGTGAAGAGGGGGAAGTGGGGTCGAGGACGGTTTCTGGGGGACTCTGATCTTCGACAAAGGTAGCGGCCGATAGTTTACGAATTTTCCTGGGCCGAATTGGGATTTTAGAAGGGTTCGAGTGATTGCGAGAAATATCAAGTGGCGCGCCGGCAACAAGGGTCGGTTCCGATTCCGATTGAAGCCCAGAATCTGCAGTTGGGGAAGGCGACTCCGTCCGTGCTTCAGTTGGCGGTCCTGAATCCGAATCGGGCAGGGATACTGTTTGAGTCGGAGTCTTCTCACTCATCGAGACAAGGGAAATCAAAAGGGAAGAAAAAACTTAGGGTTCCACCGGCGGCGATGGGCGGCGCGGAAGGAAGTGTTAGAGGTGCCTGAAGTTGGGCGGGTGTGACAAAAGTGGAGCAAAACTAGTAGTGGGTGGGGTTGAAGCGTGGACATTCTCAGGCTACAACTTTGTCGAACCCCAACTTACCTGCGTCGGTAATGCATCCTACCTAGGGGATTCGGTACGGTCTATGAAGCACCGATACTTCCCTAGGGTAGCGTATCGGCGTATCGGATACGTTCCCGTATCCGATACTCTAGGATACCCGTACCGTACGTTCCCGGGCCGTATCTGTAATTTTTAAAAGTTTCCATTTTTTTTGTAATTTTTTGAAAGTTTCCGATACTCGAATCCTGACGGATACCCGTATCAACTTTTAAAAAAAAAAATCCCAAAATTTACTTAATAAAATTCTAAAAAAAATGAAAACCTAAAACTACATTTTACTTGGTAATCAAATAATGGGCCTATATGACTATATCCGAATTAAGTCATTAACACATACTTCGAAGTGGGTACTTGCACTTTTAATCTTAAGATTGTACTTGTTTGACTAATTTCTCATTTTAAATTAATGACTTATTGACTACATTTTCTATTTCGAGATGCACTAGTGTACATGAGAAATATTATGAATTTATTATTAAATATCTTGAAAAAGGAAAATGATTCAATGCAATGAATGGGTAGACATCATAGGATATTATATGTGTGTATTTATATATATATTCAAAAAAATAATCTATTTTTAATATTTATAAATAGACCCCTATAACTTTTAATATTTGTAAATACACCCCCATAACTTTTAATATTTATAAATATGGCCCCGTATCCGTATCCTACTTTTTTTGGTTTTGACGTATCCCCGTACCCGTTTCCGCGTTTCCACGTTTCCGCGTACCGGTATCGGTGCTACATAGGGTACGGTATATCTTATATTTTTTCTCATACCTTTGCCGTACCAAAACTTTCGGTATGCAAAATTTGCATACTTTTACCTTACCGAAGTTTCGGTATACCGCATTTCGGTATACCGAAGTTTCGGTTCGATAACGGTACGGTATCGGTAAATTACCGTGCATGTCTCTCAATACAAAAAATTATCATAGACTAACGAAATATACTTAATCGTTATTACTAGTGACATGTTAAATCTATTATTAAAATGTTACGAAATACAATTAATAATCTATTGATGTCAATTCAATATTGAACAATAATTATTATTATTAGTATATTTAAGCAGTTCAACATTCCGCATATTAAAAAGTAACACATTCTCCTAAAATAACTTGAACAATATAGATATAATTAAATCAACAGTGATCTCTAACAAAAATAAATAAAACTATTCAAACAACATGGATATAAAATCATTTATTTCTAATATGATATTGTGTATTTAGTCATTTTTATAATTTTTTAAAATTTGAATAAGACTTTCGGATAAAGTTGTGTGTCTCGACTCGCGGAATCCCTATGTAGATACACTTGTCACATAAGTGTATCTCTCTTCACTTGTCAGCTACTTAGCGGCTCAACCATCACGACTTGCAAGATCTTGGAACAAGATGGACTTGTTTCTTGACATTTGCACATTAGTCATTAAGGTTAGCGTAGTAGAAGCCTATAAGGTTATAGTGGGTTTGAGAAATTGGGCCTTTATTTTTGTATTTTTGTATTTTTGTATTTGTAACCAACTTAAGTATTAATTTTGGACCCTCGAAAAAAAAAGTATTAGTTTCGGGCTTCAAAATTGTAATGGATTTCTACAATATACTATCCTCCGTTCTATAATTCTTGCAACAGTTTGACTTTCACGTTTGCCAATGCACAACTTTGATTGTAATTATATTTAATTATGTATTAGTAAACATTATAAAAAGTTGATATTTTTGAAATTCACATTGATAAGAGTTCAATAACATTTTATACGTAATAATTTGATTATGTATATTAGTAGAAAATCATGGTCAAAGTACGATCTGTGAATAGTGTAAAAATCACAATGTTGCAAGAATTATAGAACGGAGGAAGTATTAGAATTAAAAGTAATTGTTGAGTAGGGAGTCGGTACGGTATTATTCCGGTATACCGCGGTATTTGAAAACATTTACCGTTACCGTACCAAAATAGATCGGTACGGTATGATACCGTACCGAAAATGACGGTATACCAATATTTTGGTATTTTCCGGTATTTTTCGGTACGATAAGTGCGGTATACCGATATTTCGGTATTTTTGCCCACCCCTAATCCTACCTGCACTTTCATCATAATTTTCTGGTCGCTTTAATTTGGTCTGATCTTCTTTTTTAAATTGGTCTCATCATCTTTCTAAAATTGGTCTGATCTCATAGTTTATTGACATACAGGTATTTTAAATTGGTTCGATCTGATAGATTATCTGATGTATTTTAAATTGGTCTCATCTAATAGATTATCTGGTGTACCGTTATTTTGGATTGGTCTGATCTACTTGCTCAAGGGGTCAAGGTTGCCCCCGATCGGCCCGGAGTGTGGCATTGTTTGGTCCACTTAGACCGAGGTGCTCGGTCGAGGGGCAGTGCGTTTCCCACTAGCTCGAAGTGTGGTGACACTCCTAATTTATTTGAGGTGTAGTAGGTTTGAAGGATCTTATTTGATGTATTCTAGCTCTCAATGAAAGAAACAAATGATGTCATATTGTCTTAGGGAGAAGAAAGAACTAGAGAAAGAAAGTGATATATGAAAATGATTTTCCAACCCTTACATGGCTCTCAAATGATACATAGTCTATTCTCATGTGTGTATAAGTGTACAATAGTGTGAAGCTATCTACTGAGCGCATGTGGGCCGTTGTTCAGGCTTAATAGTCATGAGATCGATGGTTTGAGTCCATATACTTTACCAATTGACATTCACAACTTTAACATGAACATAGCTAATATGAACAAATCTATTTAATAAAATATCTTTAGATGGGGTCATATGACCCGACGCACCCGAGTATGGATATCACATTGCATCATTAGTCTTACCAGTAGGAACCACTGGGGAGCGAAACAGGACACAACCGAATGACCTAGATAAAAAACATACTGCCTCCATCCCAAAAAACTTTGTCATTTCCAAAAAATTGAACCTTAATTTTGATTAGTTTAATATTATATAAGTTATAAATTTTATACTTTTATGAAATTACTTTTAAAAAAGAACATTTTCAAATAACTTTTATATTATAAATCATTTCCAATAAAAAGATATAGCCGGTCAAAGTTTTGAAAATGGCAAAGTTTTTTGGGATGGAGGTAGTATTTGACATACTGTGGGAGATGAAACAGAGCCTGATATTCCATCAGCTGAAGAAGAACCTGCATGACCCGAGTGAGTATAGTACGAAGATGAAAGGAAAGAATAACATAAAACAGTACCTCAAGCTCCGACATGAGGATGGGACTGATGAAAGATTTGAACCTCATGAACTTCTTATTCATCTTCTTTGTAAGGTTGTTTAGCAAGGTCAGTTCCTTCTTTATCTCATTGATCTCAGGGTCAGAATCAGACAAGTTTCTCTCTTCTTCAAATGAATTTGCTTCAACAACTTTTGGAGCTTTTTCTCTTTTCTTCCTTTCAGTAGACAGAAGAGCAAGAGAATCAACAATATTCTTCTCTTTTTAAGCTTTCACCTTTTCAAGAACATCTTCACAGAATTTTCCTAGACAGTCATAGACATTGTGAAAGCCAAAAGTCCTTTGTTTGCGTGATTCTTTTAACAAATTTCTTCCACTCTGGCCCAAGTGAACGCAAAAAGCGCAGATTGACTTCCATGTTTGTCTTTTGGGTGTTAAATAATCTTCCTCATCTCATTGAGGACCACTAGATAGCGCTGATATGTGTCTTCCAAATCTTCTTCGACTCATGCAGTGAACGAGTCATGGGCAGTAAGAGTGTGAGCTCGCTTAGTTTTTATACCAATATCAGTTCCTTGCATACTCCGATGAATTTCATCCCACATTTCTTTGGCTGTTGTGAGGCTGTCAATTTGCATAAAGAGATCATTGGGGATAGATTGCAGTAGATATGTTGTAGCAAGGAGATCAGCTTTAGCTCTTAGATTTTTCGATTCAGTATAGGCGTCTTTAGGTTTTGGAACCTTCTTTAGAGGAAGTGGAGGATTATTGGATGGGTCGCCTGGAACATCTACCCAATATTCAACTGGTCCTTCATTGAGAGATGTAAGAATATTTCGTCCATTCTCTCTGCTTCGTATAAAATTGAGGAACCTGGCCTTCCAAACAGTAAATTCACCTCTCCTTAGAATAGGAGGCCTAGAATCACTGCCCATTGTATATGCATCTGTGATGAAAAAATAGACTTTTGGTGATCGTGCGCGTGTACTGTTAATTAAGATAAAGGAGGATCATGGGTGTGGTACGAAATAGAAAAGGAAACAAAAATTTTGGATTCCGGATGAAGAATTCGAGACTGATTTCGGGTGATGGTGCGTAATTCAAAACTCGAGGCAGCTTCGAAGTTGGAACTCGGGCGAACTTCGAAATTAAGACTTCGGGTTGGGCTGTAAAGGTGATCTCGGTGCAGATCTCGGGAGTCCGAAGCTAATACTGATTTTGTACCAAACAAATTCTACTTATGTAGGAGCCGAAATCCAAGTTCTCGGGTATGCAAATCTTTACGAAACTCGACCAAAGTTTAAAGCTTTGATCATTAGATGAAGAAGTAAAAGTTTAAAGTTCAATTAAGGTGAGGATCGACACCTAATTGCTTACAACTTGTAGGTTAAGCATGTGATTACCTAAATGTCTAAATCATATTTTTTTCATGCATTATGATGATTAAATATTGATGAAATATTGATATATTTGATAAGAAATGAAGTTGATAATGACTTGAGGCCATATTGATAATATGGAGTTAAATGAGCTATAAATGAAATATTATGTGAAATCGACATTTTTACTCATGTATGAATTGTGTGGATACATAAATTAATATTTATGTGTTGAAATTGAATATTTAAGTTGCTGCTACATGCCTCTAAATATGTAAAGAATTATAAAATAAGGATAATTGTATGATAACAATCATCTTAATAGTATTGAAATACTAGTTAGTGATTATATTATTGGAAATTGTTGATAGAATTGATCCTAAGGATTGGATTGTATGTA